GAAGTTTTGGCACCCTCCTGCACTACAACCGCTGCACTCCCAGGTTGCTCGCAGGATTTTGTGGGCAAAGCACAGATGCCCAGGGCTTCCAGTTCTCATGTCGAAGAAGGACATTGCAGGGGCGTTTCGCCTCCTTTGGGTGGACCCGAGTGATGTCGCGCTGTTTGCAGGAGACTTGCCGTGGCAACCCCAGAAGGCGTTTGATGAAGCTGAGGAGGTTGAGAAGCCGGTGGAGGGCGACATCACGGTGGTCTATTTGGTCTCTTCCTTTGGCTTCAGTGGCAGTCCTGGTGAATGGTGTATGTGGGGACGAGCAACTGAGGAGTATCACAGAGCCCACAAGCCGATGCTGAGGAGACGCGACATGGCGGACGGTTTTGATGCCAAGGTCCTGGTGGATGATTGCATCCTGGTTGAGCCGTGGGTCGGCCTGAGGCCATGGGTCAGTGCAGAAGTTTTTGAGGACGGAGTGAGAAAGATGCTCGGCGCACAGGCTGTCAATCAAGAGAAGGACGAGGTCGAGGGCGCGTTCCGCACGGCTCAGACAGTGTGGGGAATCCTGATGGAGACAGACACTGAGAAGGCTACGTTGCCTGAAAGGAGGATTCAGAAAGGGGCCGTCCTGTTGGCAGGACCTGCCTTTGACCACGGGTGCAAGGCCATCACGCTCAAGGAGATGCAGCAGTTTCGAGGAATTCTGACTGGTTGGGCGGCCATCGTACCCGGTTTGGGAAGCGAGCTGAAAGCAGCAGACAAGTTTTTGAGAGGCCATGATGGCAAGGCGTTTGTGCAGGTGAACATCAAAGGTGATGGGTCTGAAGAGTGGGAGGTAGAGAAAGCATGGAGTGACCTGTGGGAACTGTTTGAAGTTTGCCGATGGCTGAGTTCGAGGACCTCGCAGTGGGATCTGCTGTTTTCCACTTCCCTCAAGGAGATGCTTCCCCCTATGGAACGCCTGAGTTTGCCGGGACAATGGGAGGAGGCGGTCTTCGTGTCATCAGACGCCACCACATCAGTGGTGGGCGCCATTGATTGGAAGTTTGGAGCCGCTTTCCGGGAGAAGTTCATCAACCTCAAACCGTGGGTCTTGGAGGTTCTCACAGATTTGGAGTTGAAAGCTGAGGGCGAAGAGATCGTGGTGCACCTGGCGGAGATGCTATCCTTCGTGGCCTTTGCGTGTGACAGAGCCCCTGCATGGCAGAACAGGGTGATTGTGTATGCAGGGGACAACATGGTGGTCAAGAGGTGGCTGCAAGGGAGGAGGAGCAGAGTGCGGGGAGGCCGCATCCTTATCAGGGTGGTCAACATGCTGGAGATGCGCTGGAGAATCCAGGTGCTGGCAGGATGGTGGAGAACATACCACAACGTGGATGCGGACTACATCACAAGATGCACCGACGAGGAGTTCAACAGCTTGTTACAACGCAAGAAGTGGATTGAAGTGGATGTGAAACCAGCAGTGGCGCAGGCCCTGAAGGATTCTCGGCAGTTCGGCCCGTGCTTTTTGTATGGGACCGACGAGCAGGACAGAACCCTGCTCATGCAGTTGAAAGAGAAACGTATGAGGAGGCAGCTGCAGAAGGAGCCAAGCACACCGTGGCCGAGCATTCGAGTGGTGGAATGGAGAGCCTGCGGGAGAAGGGTGCTTGACTTTGAGGAGGCGGCTGCGTTGCTGGGAGCCAAGTTGGATGCAGGTCATGAGAAGGTGCCTACAATTTTGTGTGCGTCTTTGGGCATGGACGAGCAGGGCCGACATTTGCAACGAGTGCTGGAGGCTGCGAAGACGGTCGAAGCATGGTTGATTTTGGTGGAAGGTCCACGGTCCGTTGCCTGGGACTTGGGTGAGAGGAGGTGCCAACAGCGAGGATGGGGTGTTGGAGTCATTGAGTACGTCACCACAGAGCTGGGGGAGGCAATGGCTCGAAGAAGAAGATGCCTAGTTGCACGCCCAGAAGGAGCTTTGCCAGAGGACTGGACGACCGGCTTGGTGCGAGTGGGAGCGCCGGTTCCTATCAGCACTCTCTTGAAGCAAAAGCCTTGGGAGGATTTGGTGTGGCGCAAGCCGGCGAAGCTGGAGTTGGAAAGTGGCATTCCAAGGGACAGAATGCTGCCCTGTCCGGTCGGCCATTACATGTGGAGCTCAGAGGAGGAGGAAAGAAGGACGTGCCACAGTTTGGATGGGCCATGTTTGTGGCCAAAACTGGTGGCAGGAAGCAAGAGCATTGAGGAGGTTGTGGTTTTTGATCGACGAGGACCTCCTGGCCACTTGAGGGCGTTGACGCTTGAGGAGGTTTGGAAGCTCCAGGGCCGGCCCGAATGTCTGAAAGGGACACCATCGGAAAGGGCAGAATGGGTGGCAGAAGGATGCAGGGCCACAGGGGCACAGACAGCCGCAAGCCTGCTGGTCTGGGGTGGCCACCTCGTCGAGAGCTTCATGGAGCAAAAAGTGAGGAAAGCAGGTATGTGCTCTGAGTTGGAAGGGCCTGAGGCATTGGCCCAAATTTTGGTGTGGTTGCGGAAGTGGAGACGAGGAGAATTTGAACGCAGGGCTGGTGGAGCTTCGTGGGAGGAGAAGGTCTACAATGTCAACAGATGGGCTGAAGCATGGTGGATCTCAATGTTGGAAGAGGTGTCCGACAGCGAGGAGGAGACCGACCTGGGAACCGGGCGAGCAGGAGGCCGCCGCAAGAAGCTCACCAGTGAGGAGGTGGCGGAGAAGGTGTCAAGCCAGTTTGTGGCCAATGTGGGCCTAGCAGTGAGGCCTTTTTGTGGTGAGGTGAAGGACCGCATTGAGGAATGGCTAGAGGAGAACATGCAAGGTGATAAGAGCCCTGCAACGGAGAAGGCCTACGCAAGCGCATGGATGAAGTGGAAAGCGTGGGCCAAGAGACAGCAGTGGATCTCTGAGTATCTGGACAGGACAGAGGATGCTGTGGAGAGGGAAAACAAACTTCTGGCCTATGTGGGGTACCTTGGATGGTTGGGTGCCTCAGTCAACACGATTCGGCAGAGCATCTTCGCGATCAAGCTGGCTCACAAACGTGTTGGAGCAGGAGACATCACAGAAGGAATGCATCGTGTTTGGATCCTTTTGGGAGGGCTCGACAGAAGGTCTACATCACGAAAACCAAGGAGGCTGGGTGTGACGCAGGAGATGCTCCAGTGGCTTGGTGAGGAGCTGATCGGAAAGGCAGAGGCACAAGGGCGCAGAGCGGAGTTGGCTGATGCTTCGATGGCATTTGCAGCTTTGAGCACGGCGTGGTTTTTCATGCTGAGGTGCAAAGAGTTTGCGGAGTCCAATGGAGTGGACAGAGAAATGATCCTCCGTGGCTGCGATGTGAGGTTCTCAACAGATGGGTTGGCAGTGGACAAGGATGCGGAGGAGGTTACAGTCCAATTCCGAAAGACAAAGGTGGACCAGATGGCGTTTGGAGAGGCGAAGACTTTGAGGGCGACCGGAAGGCGCTACCTTTGTCCGGTTGAGGCGCTGTGGAGAATGAGGACCTACTGGCCAAGGCGTTTTGCCAAGGAGTCCAGTACCAGCAAGGAGCCGCTTTTTCGATGGGGCAGCGGAGGAGTTTTGAAGAGGTTGGAAGTGCAGCACTTCCTGCAAAAGGCCGCAGAAGGAGTGGGGCTTCCTGGGGACAGGTTCCTCACGCACAGTTTGCGTATCGGAGGAGCCACAGCGTTGTTTCAAGCAACGGCCGACATTGAGTTGGTCAAGAGGATGGGTCGATGGACATCTTCGGCGGTGCACCGTTACCTGGAGGATGGGGTGACGGTGGCCAACGCCTCACAGAAGATGGCAGACGTTCGGGTTAACCACACGTAGCCATAGAACACAGAAGCGGAGGGCACAGAACACAAAGGCTGAGGAGGCCACAGACCACAGAGGTTGAAAGGCCACAGACCACAATGGAGAGGTGGAGATGAGGCAGCTAAGGCTGACAATATAAGGTTGAGTTGCATGAAGGTACTGGAGGTACCGTTGAATTGAGGTTGAAAGGGAGGGGCGAGCTGGCATGGCCACAACAGGTCATGTAAAGGTGCTGGCTTGCACCTGGCCAAACAGGTTCCACGGTGCGCGACGCCGCCAGCAAAAGGAGCTTTTGCGTTGGGGCTTTTGGTCGCACACGACTGCACACCAAAGTTGGAACTTAGTTGTAAGTGTGACTTTTGTGGTAAGGAGTGGCTTTTGTAGCTTTGTGGGTCCAAGTGTTTCAAGGGTACCCACCCCTAACCACCCGGGGGCGAGCTGGCATGGCCACAACAGGTCATGTAAAGGTGCTGGCTTGCACCTGGCCAAACAGGTTCCACGGTGTGCGACGCCGCCAGCAAAAGGAGCTTTTGTGTTGGGGCTTTTGGTCGCACACGACTGCACACCAAAGTAGTAATAGTAATAGTAATAGCAATGGTAATAGTAATAGCAATAGCAATAGCAATTGACAGCAGCAATGATGATGATAATGTCAAGAACTGATGATCATGAAACACAAGTCATAATCAAATTTTGGCGATTATTTTGGCGATGCTTGATCTATTAGTCTTTGCCCATTGCTCAGATCCTGAATAAGACGAACATATGTCGACCTCGAACTCCCACAACCCACCCAATTTGTAAGAACTCATTGATTCCAAAAGGAAAAAATGCATTGGTTATTCCAGGGCGACTTGGTCTTTCCCAGGGTTCCAGACGTCATCTTGTAGACTTGCAGGTACAAGGGCCCAATCATGCTGAACTGCGGCATCGCCGCCAGGGTTGGCCTGGCTGGAAATGTGATATGATTTGAGATGGCTAGAGACAACAGAAATAGGATGAATAGTAAGTTCTAAGCTTCTAATTGTTGATTGGGTGGAAAAAAACAATGATTTGGTGAAAAGAAACATTTAGTTAATTTAGAAAAAGAAACATTTGGCGAAAAGAGTCCCAATCATTCGTGTTAAAAAAGAAAAACAATGATAAAATTCCGCCCCCCATCAACCCGCTCTTTTCCTCGCGTCTAGGCCGCCACTTCGGTCCTGGGGCGCTTGGCACTTGGCGCCGAAAGCTCCACGAACTCGCCCCGGCGCCGGGCGGCCTGGTGGCTCTCGGACAAGGCGCCAGGGCTCTGCAGGGTGCTGCGCAGCATGCTGTACATCAGCTCCTGATGAGAAATCGGAGACACCACCACCTCCAAGTGCCAGACTTCACACAGCCACCCTGGTGGTTATGAGAAACCCCTGGACGCTTCTTTTCAACTGCCGTTTCGAAGCATACTGCTGACCCATACCCATCGATGGTTTCCAGTGTTTCCAGGCACTCCTCGCAACAGCCGTGCAGCTTCATATTCTTGAGCAGTTCCATCATGCTTCGGCGCAGGCAGGTGCTGCTGAGGTGTTCGTCGTCGCCTGACAGTTTCTTTGGGCCCCGTATCCAAGACGTGGGGATGTCCCCCATGCAAGCAAAATGCGGACAGCGGCAAGGTAGAATAGAAGCAAAGTATATGTGATAATGATGGCTGAAAAATAGAACAAAACACTCACAACCGCCCTGGCAATACTCCTTTGTTCCAGCCTTTTAAGGCGGGTAGAAGCAACAGCATTGCATTGCCCGAACTTTTCGTGTTCTCAAAGTTTCCCAAGTCTGCGGGTAGCAGTTCCTGAGGCAAAAATTTGGTGTTTGAGGCGATGTCTTCATGTTTTCTCCGATGTGAAATATTAAAAAAAACTGTGAGTCAAAACCCTGGCAGCCTGGCCAAATCCCCGAATCCAGCAAATATCATATACATGTATATATATATATTTACAAATGTATATATATATATAATCAAATGTATATACATACAAATCGAAGTCTTCCCGCCGGTCTCCCTGTCCTGATCACGATACTTTACGCTCACCCGCTCCTGGCAGGGCGAGCAACCTCTTGAGATTTGGAGGGTTGAGCCCATCAAAATCCAATCTATGAAGAACAGACAATATAAATAATTATAAAGTTTTTTTTTCCAACCGAGCACACTTGGGCTCCCGAAGCACAATGACGACGAGCACGTTGCAAGCCAGATTCGCTTGCAGCGCTTTAGGTTTAGTGAAATTGCTTTGAAAAAGAAGAACTGAAGCACCGTGTTTTCCGACAAAAACGAATACCAAACGAAGTACCTCGAGAGGCCGAAGCCTTGGCAAGTTAATAAATGGTTAATATTTGCAGGGTCAAATTGAGCGCCTTGTCCATTTAAGAACAGAAATGCATCTCTGTATGATTCTATCACCCAGTCTAATTTCGGCCTGCCATGTCTCCTAGACACTACATGTCTGGGACAAATCCCATCTGCTGCGAATGTTACTTGGGAGAGTGGGTCGGCCCTGCTGCATATAAAAATGTGGCCAAAGAACTTTAGTTTGGCTTTGCGCCAGGTGTCTGCAAACTTCTCAAAATTACACCCGTACTGTTCCCGGATTTCTGCATACATTCGCTCATTCGCTTCCGTTCTATCAATGAATGTGGGCGGTTTGCCAAGAATACAACGCAACGATTTGGAAAGCATCCAAACGAGATAGTTCTGATGTTGTGAGCTGAATACATTCTAACCCGTATAGAAGTTTTGAGCGGATAATGGCATTGAATACTTGGATTTTCCACTTTACGGAAGATTTGGTTTTCGTCCAAAATAGTTTCATCCGGTTAGCAGTAGCAATGCAATCTCCCAATCTATTGAGAATTTCTTCCTTATTGTTAAAGGAATCGGTAAGTAAGGTGCCTAAATGAATGGCAGATTTTTTCCTGGAAACCAATTTACCTTGCCCAGGACCAGTCGGCGAGAAGCGGACTGAAGAAACCCTCTGATTGGCAGCGATATTAATACACTTATCATAGTTCAAGTTCAAACCAAAATAATGAGAGTGCCTTTCAATAGCATGAAACAAGACATTTATACAATGTGTGTTTGTGCCGAAAATGAGAGTGTCATCTGCAAACAAAATTTCAGAAAAATACATTCCGTCGATAGGTTCTTGTTGACGAGGAGTGCGTAATTAATCCGTCAAGTTTAAGAAGAGAGCGCCCTTCAGAAGGACAAATAAATACGGACTCAAAGGGCAGCCCTGTCTAATACCTGAACGTTGCGATGTCCATGCTGAACTAGATTGACCAACATTGCCTTTAAATTGAGGGCCTTCGTAAAAACTTGCGACCAAGTTACAATCTTTGGGGGGACAATCAAACGTTTTAGGGTTTCGATCACGTTATCTTGCCTTACCTTGTCAAACGCCTTCTCCCAGTCTACTAGAATCAAAGTGCTCCATGACTTTGATTTTTCAGCATGATCCTGGAGTCGTCTTGCTAAGTAAATAGCTTGACTGGATGATTTTCCAGGACGGAAAACCATATTGGGTTTGCATCAGCCATGGGTCAAGACCTGCCAGAGGTCTATTTTTAACAAGGGCAGCGACAATCTTATAAAAGCAGGAAAGCAGTGAAATGGGTCTGCAACTAGACAAAGAAGAGGAATCCCCTTTTTTATAAATAGAGACAACGATTGCGTTTACAAATTGTCCGTCAATATGTCCGACTTCGAGGCAATCGTTGGCTGCCTTTAACAGCAAGGTTCTATTTTGATTATTCAGCCGTTTATACAGCTCTCCCGGTATTCCATCATCGCCTGGCGTTTTGTTTCGTTTCAACTGCGACAAAACAGACTCAAGCTCCTCAATTGTAAAAGGAAATTTATCCACATAATAAGTGCCATTTGTAGGGGGACATGTAAACGTGAATGATGAGAAGCATCAACCATAGGAGGTTTCCATTGAACATCATGAAGGTACTCAGCCGCTTTTTTGGGATAATCCTTGTGAGCGACATGTTTACCATTCGAATCTTTGAATTTGGTAAATGCAGGAGTGAATTTTGCCCACATCTTCTTTAAACCGTCCCATTTATATCCTTGTGCATTAATCTCCTCCAGTTTTGCAAGCAAATCTTCTTCTCTGTCTTTCTTCACTTCATTCTTGATACTGCGCTCCAAGTGGTTTGCCTCCTCGTGATTCCCTTCCTCGATGGCTTTCCATTTCTGTTCCAATAGGGCCCACGTGGTTGCTGAAATATACGATTTCTTTTGTTTGGGGTCCACTTGAGGCAGGTGACCCTGAACACTTTCGAGGATTATTTTGTTGAGAGAGTCCATATAAGAAGGTCCGTTGATTTCAGCATTGTCCGCAAGCGCAGTTTTTTTCCGGATTTTGTTTGTTGTATTCTTCTAGCTGTTGAGCATTCGGGTTGCGGAGTCTGATGCATGAAGCGGTAGTACTACGAATCTGAGAAGTTTGAAATGGACAGAGGCAATCACAAGTTTGTGGTCTGTATCAACAGCGTGAACCTGGGTCGTGGTGACATCCGTAACAGCATTTTTCCATTTGTTGTTAACGAGGACAAAATCACATTGCGCATACTTGTGAAGTAGCCATGCTGGTTGCCAAAATTTTACACCTACAGCCTTGCAAGTAACCAATTCCTCATCCGATTTTTGAAATGATGTATTTTCTGCAACTAAGCTGTTGGCCAAGCAAAATTCCGCAAAGCGGGCACGATTTCCAATTTGAGCTTCACTTAATTATAAAGTTTAAAGAATATAATAAACCCAGCTTCTCAACAAACTCAAGTCCCAACCGAAGAAATAAGCAGCTTCAGAAAGGACATGAAATATCATGAAATATTTTTTTTCCGGGCCGGTTCATAGAAAGTGCGGTGATGGGAGATCAACTCTTGACCTAACCATCAACATATCTTTCCCAATCCAGGAAGGAATCTTCACTGCAAAGCCATCACTTTCGGGCCCTCCTCCAGGCAGAAATGCTTCAGCGCAGCCAACATCTCCTGTGGATCCTGCGAGATCACGACCTCTTGCATTTCCCGAGCCACCTGGCTGGAGAGATGGAGCCAGATCTGTTTTTGTTTCAAAAATATCAGGAATGTAAACAGGATTCTAAAAATATATGGTAGCTCCAATTTAGCTTCCTGACATGGCCATTGAAAATATATCCGAACATTTTGTTGAATTCAAAAACACTTGAGACATGATTTCTTTGTGCCGCACTTGGATGTCAAAAGCTAATCCCCATCAAACAGTGGTGACGACTGTGCAGCAAATGTGTCACTTATGGCGCTGTAAATCCACTCACTTGTGTCAGCGTGTCACTTGAAGAGTGGGGGGAAGCTACGACACTTTAGTGTTTTTTGGGGATATCATCAGTCATAGAATGATATATTGAGAATGTAACATTAAAACAAAGAGAGCAAGACTATGACACCCTCCCAGCTGGAAGATGCTGGGAACAATAGGATGATACCTCCATGGCATTCATCAGGTCTGCTGCGCGCAGCAGATGACCACCCCTCCAACAATCCTCTCTCTCCTTGTACGCATGTATATAGACATGTATGCATATACATATACATGTATATATATATATATTGATTTATTGATTGATTGATTGATTGATTTATTGATTGATTGATTGAAGGTCTGTTTCTCACACGCTTTCTCCCTCTCAATGGCATGTCGCTCCCTTAGCTTTTTGGGGTTCTGGTGCAGGGAAAAAAAAAAAACTGTTGAGGAAGCTACTACCTACGACCTGTCCGGGAGAAACACACAAAACACCGGAGTATGATAATTTGCAGGATTAAATGTTTTTAACCCCCATCAATTGCACGTTGCTCCTTTAGCCCTTTTTGGTTAAAATGTGTATATTATATATATATAATACACATATATACACAGTATATACATCTGTATAGAAGACCCCCAAGGGAGAGACATGTTCAGAGAAACAGCATTTCTGAGCGAGCATGTACATACAGACTTTCAAGTTGCATATTGCATGTGCCATATTACATATTGCGAATTACATACAGTAGTACATAAGACACAATACATACTGCATAAAGCTAATAGTATGTGATACACAGTACATAGTACATGGTACAAATACATAATCCATAATGAATCAATACATAATCCGTAAAACACAATGCATAATACACAGTACATATAGTTGTACATACATATATCGTGCATGTAGTATCTGAGTCACCATTCCGTTTACAACATCATTGTCTGCCAGCTTTGCTCAAGAATCCACGATCATCTTCCCAGTACAAAAACCAGAGCTTTGGCGTCTGGTGATTTCTGGTGAAATTCACAAGATTCCTGGTGCTGGTAGAGTTTTGACCATGTTTTGACCATGTTTGCTGTTCCCCAGAGCACCAGAATGAGGTCGGTGTGCTTCAGTAGCTCTCCAGGGGAGTTCCAGGAAGACATGCCTGATCAGCCAAGGGGGATATCGCCGAACGGAGAAAAACATGGATTGAACATGATTTAACCCACCAAAGAACTTCACAGTCAGGGTTTTTTAACCAAAACTGAAGGAAAAATTAGATCCAACTAGCAAAAATAGGGATTGGATTTGACCAACAATGGAGAATTTCGCCATCAATGGGGGAGTGTTACCATCAATCAATGGGGATAAAGCACCCCATTGAAGTGCAGCAAACTCAGCAAACCCAATGCTATGAATCTCACATTGGGGTTGGGATCGCACCCATTCCTGGTAAAACTGAGAACAATTGGTTATTGGGTACCTGAACGAGTGACATTTGCTCATCCTGGATACCCGGCATCGACCCCAACTCAGAGAGGGGCTGCATCTCACCCTGCTAGGCAAACGAATTCCCCATGGCAAGAAGTCAAAGTATCAAACTATCTACCACCCAGTAGAATGGGTTTGCATAAACGGATGAACGGCAGGTGCTCAAACCCGTTTCCGACCCCAAATGAGGAGCGCTCCCCGCAGAGGCTCTCCCCTCGCAACATTCACACATCCATTGGAGAGCTGGTTCGAAATTATGTACCACCATGGATATCCGTTTTCAAAACAGACCATGGTCTTGATGGCCTTGAAAAAAAATCAACTCAAATCTTCCGGTGTTCCAAAACCCCATCTACCAGCCCTCAGCCCAGCCTGCCAGGTTATCCACCCCGAAGACGGCCCCCAGGCGCTTCCTGGGTCCCAGCAGCGGCGAGTGCTTCGCAAAGTGCTTCAACAACGAGGCGGTGGGCACGGTGCGGAGGTAGCCTCCCAGGGGACCAGGTCCATCGCTGGGGAAACAAAAAAGGGGATGGGTCAACACCTATAAAAATCATGGGAAAATCATCTATAAATTGGCGGTTTTGATGAGAAACTCCTCAAAAAAGTGGATTTCTCATTGCCATGTTTGACTACCGGAAGGTATTTGGGTGGCTGAACATCCAAAAAATCCCAGCTAGTTTCATGTGAACAGAAGGGTATCAGGGTTTTGATTCATAGTCATGTGCCACTTACTGTAAAATGTATCTCAAGTTGTGCTGAAAGCCAATCATCATAAGCCACTGTTTTCTTGATATGGTTTTTGAGTTGAGATTTTTGTCCTGCACTTCGCGTCCCAAATGAAACACCAAAACACATATAAGTACCTACCCTCTGATAATTTACCTTGGCTATTGAAAATGGCCCATTTAGCCTGCTCATTTGCCTATTGTCTTCATGTTGATTTTCCATAGTTATAAAATAAATTACCAAATGGCAAATCGTCTTAAATCCCCATAGAATCCCATAAAATCACGACTGCAATATATATATATATACATATATATACACACTATGAGGTATATATAGTATCCCGTAAAATCCCCACTTAATCCCATCAAATCTCTATCAAGTCCCATAAAATCACAACTGTATCCCACATAAGACCACAACTATATCCCGTTTTCTGCCTAGGAAATCCCATGAAATCCCCATGAAATTCCCACAACTTGCAACTTCCGGCAGGCCTTCCGGCAACTTCTTCGCCCAGTAGTTGGGCGAAAACTCCAACAAATCTTCGTGCTGCTCTTCGTAGTCCAGCACGTGGCAGTAGGCCTGGCTGAAATGGACCGTTAACGAATGGTTAATCTATGGTTAATATATAATTAATGATGGTTAGCAATGGTTCATAATGGGTGATACTGGAGGTTTCCATAGTCATGGGGGTACCCCAAATGGATGGTTAATGGAAAATCCGAACATAAAATGGGTTGATTTGGGGTACCCCCATGAAATGGAAACCTCCATATAACTAATGTCGTAAACCCAATAATCACCAACCCATTTATGGTGATTTTGGGGAGTGGTTATTGATGATGGTTAACAATTGTGAATGATAATGGTTAGATGATATATCTCTGTATACATATACATACATTAGTTAACACTGGTGAATGATAATTATATTATCTCATTGTTAAAGGCGGCAAAATGTTCTAAAGGAATATGAAATATGAACATTTAATGATTATGATGTTAATAAAATATAAAATAATAGTTGATAATGTTCATATAGTCATGGTTGATAAATTTTAGTAATGGTCAATGAATGGTTGATTAGTTGAAGTACTGGTTGAGCCACTATACTGGTCATAGTAATCCGCAAGTTCACTTAAAATAGAAGTTGGGATGTGTTAACTCAAATAGTGAAGAATTGAACCTTTTCTGATAGAAGTTGGGGGTTTATGGGTTTTTAGTAATGGTTGATGTTGGCAATAATTTCATGCCATACATGGTGATTCATATAGTTGTCGATGCTTAATGATGGTAAATAGTCCCATCCCCGGAATCGAATTTGCTAAGGGGTACCATCAAAAATAGGACTGGCTTAGGGGGTGTTACCCTCAAAAATGGTGGTTTAACCAAAAATGATGACTGCTATTGATGTGTTTAACCATCAAAACTTGTGGGCTTTACATGGCTTAACCATCCTGAAATGGAGATTAATACAGCCAATATGATAATGTATATATATAAACTATATAAATATATATATATATATATGTACACCCTCAATAGTTGGGAGCCCAATTAATGAATAGATCTAACACATTTCACCCCACTTGCCAGGTCTTTCCAGCACCGTGTCTGTTGAATTTTGGCTTCCCCGGCAAAATCTCCATGTGGGTTAGTACCCACTACGTCCCATTACTATATCAATATTCTATATATGATATGGAAAAGTATAGTATGTATAATATTCTATATTACTATTATTATAATATATGTATACATATAGTAACCCGCAACAAGCTGGAAGTTAGTGTTTCCAGGATGTTAGTAACCGATGATGTTTCCCCGCAAAATTTTCAGCTTTGCAACTGTTCCATCTATGACTGGGGGTTGCTATGTATCTATGTATATGTATATACAGTAAATATACGGATTATGTCCCATTTCATGTCATCATTATACCATCATTGTACCATCATACAATTATTACACCATCATCAGACCTTATGATACCATATAGGAAGCAGTTATACTATATACCATATCGGAAACGAATTGCTTCATAGGTAATATGAAACCATTACTATATACATAGTAAGCCGCAAAGAAATCGAACAGTAAAATCCCAAATAGTTGCAGTACAAATAGTTTTAAATTACGCGTTCATACGCTTTCTATCTTTCTGGAGGTTCCACTATTTCCACTTTCGGAGACCCATTTCCCATGATGGCCATGGGATGGCCATGGCCTCCGCGCCTCCGCCTCGGCCGTTTCCTTCAGCAAGGTGCGCAGAAAGGCGCAGCGCTTGGCCATGGGATAGAAAACCTCCGGTGTCCACATTCCCAATGGGGAATTTTTCAAAAGATCTTGTTTAGGTGTTACAGTTAGAGTGGGTTTCCCCACCCATTTCTAGACGTTTGGGGTACGTTTGGAATGATCTAGAAATTGTGGTTTGTCCGTATATGGAAACTTTTTAACTCTCTAAACATATATTGTGCAAGAAAGAACTATTGGATCATATATGATCATATATTGTTGTCTAATATACATTCTCTGATTCACTATCACTATTGCATCATTCCATAGTTTTGTGGGTTGTCCATGTTCACTGAAGGCTTCGAAAACATTCCATGATCAGCCAGCCTCGGCACCCTGGCTGTTGGACCTCGCAGCAAACCGACCACATTTCACCCGCCTACCAGCTATCTCTACTCAGTACTTACTCTTGGGGTATTCCATGGTATCCCCAAATTTCCACTTGTCAAATGTTTAGTGACTTTAGTGCTGTTCAATCCTCTCCTTTGCATCCCCATTTCCATCAGTATACCTCCTGGTTTTTTTCCGGGCCCATGCACTTGGCCGCCACCGTCTGTTTGTTCAGTAAGTAGTTATCGTGCACCGGCAAGAAGCACACAGCCTGCCACCATGGTCATACATGTCTCACAGCAAAATACCACGCGACTATAGACAATTCTGCAGCCGCTAAAACAGAAAACCATTACTACTGAAACCATTACTCATTCACTCTATATATATATATGTAAATACACACATGTATAGTGTACAACAGTGTCCAATTATGTGTATAAATATATATATGTATGTATGTATGTCTGTATGTCTGTATGTATGTATATGTATGTATATGTATGTATATGTATGTATATGTATCTATATGTATCTATATGTATGTATATGTATCTATATGTATGTATATGTATGTGTATGTATGTGTATGTATGTGTATGTATGTGTATGTATGTGTATGTATGTGTATGTATGTGTATGTATGTGTATGTATGTGTATGTATGTGTATGTATGTGTATGTATGTGTCTGTATGTGTATGTATGTGTCTGTATGTGTATGTATGTGTATGTATGTGTATGTATGTGTATGTATGTGTATGTATGTGTATGTATGTGTATGTATGTGTATGTATGTGTATGTATGTGTATGTATGTGTATGTATGTGTATGTATCTGTATGTATGTGTATGTATGTGTATGTATGTGTATGTATGTGTATGTATGTGTATGTATGTGTATGTATGTGTATGTATGTGAATGTATGTGTATGTATGTGTATGTATGTGTATGTATGTGTATGTATGTGTATGTATGTGTATGTATGTGTATGTATGTGTATGTATGTGTATGTATGTGTATGTATGTGTATGTATGTGTATGTATGTATGTGTATGTATGTGTATGTATGTGTATGTATGTGTATGTTTGTGTATGTATGTGTATGTATGTGTATGTTTGTGTATGTTTGTGTATGTATGTGTATGTATGTATGTGTATGTATGTGTATGTATGTGTATGTATGTATGTATGTATGTATGTATGTATGTGTATGTATATGTATATGTATGTATATGTATGTGTATGTATGTGTATGTATGTGTATGTATGTGTATGTATGTGTATGTATGTGTATGTATGTGTATGTATGTGTATGTATGTGTATGTATGTGTATGTATGTGTATGTATGTGTATGTATGTGTGTGTGTATGTGTCTGTATGTGTATGTATGTGTATGTATGTGTATGTATGTGTATGTATGTGTATGTATGTGTATGTATGTGTCTGTATGTGTATGTATGTGTATGTATGTGTATGTATGTGTATGTATGTGTATGTATGTGTATGTATGTGTATGTATGTGTATGTATGTGTATGTATGTGTATGTATGATGTATGTATGATGTATGTGTATGTATGTGTATGTATGTGTATGTATGTGTATGTATGTGTATGTATGTGTATGTATGTGTATGTATGTGTATGGATGTGTATGTATGTGTATGTATGTGTATGTATGTGTATGTATGTGTATGTATGTGTATGTATGTGTATGTATGTGTATGTATGTATGTATGTATGTATGTGTATGTATGTATGTATGTATATATGTATGTATATATGTATGTATATATGTATGTATGTATGTATGTATGTATGTATATATGTATGTATATGTATGTATATGTATGTATATGTAATGTATATGTATGTATATGTAATGTAATGTAATGTTATGTAATGTAATGTAATGGAATGGAATGTAATGTAATGTATGTATATATATATACACACATATAGTAACCCCCCAAAAAATAGAAAAGTAAAATCCTACGAAACTAGCGGTAAATCACGTTTCTCTCGTCTTGTCTTTTACGAATCATTGGAGCATCATCTTTAGAAGAGATGAAAATGTGATAGAATGTGATGGTTTTCCGATCAGCGAGGTTTACCAACCGCTGGCAAATTGATGAGTCATATCCAAGGGTTTCTCTGAAAATAGGATACCCCATTCCATCCACTGGTTGATCATCAGTTCTTGTATGAAAACAGCCATTTGGAATTTGGATCCATAATTTTCCAGATACCCCCCATTTTCAGACAGAGCCACATTGATGTTCATCCCCTTCCCATGGTTCCAGACCTCCACCTGGTGCCCCAGGCGCTCCAGTCGTTCTTTCCCGAAGAGTCCCAAACGGAGATGGCCCCGGTGGGGTGGGTTGAATGTGCCCGACACCTGCGCTACGCTCGTTTGGCTGGTTGAGTGCATCCCCCCAATGAAATCCCCTCAAATCGACCCCATCTTCATGGCAGTACTTGGAAGTGCAGTTCCAGTTATAAGTGGATATATCTGGGAAAATGATCAAAATTCACTAACCTGAAATAAGGTCATTTGGGGATAGTCACCCTTATTAACCATCATTCCCATACATATAACTACAGTCGTCCCTGGAGGCCCCTCGGCACCACCAAGACATAGCTCCGCGGCGCCGGCGCGGCGCCGGGGGACAAGGAGAAGCGGTCCATTGCGATGGAATGGGGAGATGCCTCTGATTGAAACTGGGGTTGTGCCATCCCAGTGACGCTTTTAATGTGGAAAATTATAGAAAATAATGTGGTTAAAACAATCATAAACCAACCCCAAAATCACCAGAAATGGGTGGTGTAAACCATCAAAAATGTGGTGGTTTATTCTTGTTTTAACCACATTGATGACTAACCACTGGATTTAGGGCTATCCTATTTGCAGACAAACCCATATGAATGGTACGTATAATGCGAGAAACAGTAGGGATGAACATGGATGGACTGCGCATTGGACGAAACCAAGGGGTGCCCCAAGGGATTTGACATTGGATTTTGCCCCATGGGGACACACCCATGGAAAGAAAATTTCCTTGTTGCTGTTGATCTGCAGTCAGACATGGTGGCTGCTGGGACCAAAAGTGCAGCTATCCAATCTTCATGGGGGCGATATCTGATATGTGTACTCTCAGTTCCTTGATGTGCAAAGCTGCAGCTCGCTAGTTCCAAGCTTCCCACGATCGCCTCGATCCTCTGTTTAAAGCAAGCTGGAAAAAAACTCCTTGAGGCAAAATCTTCAAAATCAACATCTTCAAAATCAACACTTATTAAAGAGTCAAAAGGATAAAAGGAATCCCCCAATCATCTATATAAATGTTCCCTTGTTCAGGAAAATTTATTCGCAGGAAACGAATGGATTTTCGCACCTTGAGCCGCCCCTGAAAGCTTTGAGGAAGCCGTCTTGTAAGACCTGGGGGACAAGGGAATGGACCTTTGGGCCTTGGGGTATCCCAAAATAAACATTTGAAACTCAGAAACACTATTTGTACATAATATATATATACACATACATATATATATATACACATACATATACAGATGTATATTCACCAACAATAAAACTCAGTGGGATCTTGGGTGACCAGTCTACCCATTCCACATGGCTGGTGGTTGGCCACATCCAGCGACCGCACCTGGCGGTAGAGTCCAAAAAAAGTGGAGTGGACATCCTGCGGGATGGCCATGGATGGCCCGGATCTTGGTTTAAGAAGAACTGTGATATGTGGTGTCAGTTTATACCCAGGACACTGTGGTATAATGTGTATAATCATGGTTTATTTATCTAGTTGTGGTTATTTTAAGAAGATTTCTTTTACCATGGTTTATCTGTTGGGGCAGTTTCGGCATTGTCCATATGGCTACATGTGATTTACCAACTCTCCAACTTCGTGATTTCCAAAGGGTTGGCTCTCTGCATGTTTCTTGGTGAAACCACCACATCCGTAGGAATTAGCCTCCAGTGAACCATTTCTGGCCGTAGAAATCCCGCATGCCCATCCATTTACAGATGAGTCTCACAACGTGGAAGTGGAATCTCTCCAGCCATGTTCGCTTCGAGTACTGGAGGCAAAATAATCCGAATGTCAAGAGTTGATGGATAGTTAATCCCATTCCTCAATGTTAAACACCGCCATGCCATGGTCCCAATTCCCAATTATGTGGAAATTCCCGAAATAAAACTATGGTTTCTGGGTGGGGGGTTAATATTGGGTGGAAGGGATTGCCTACAAACCGAAGTTTCATTAACTTTCCAGGTCTTCACGTTTCCTATCCAAACCAATCATCAACACGCAATCATTTATCAATTGTCTCCCATTATCTATATATATATACACATATATATATATATGTATATATGTATGTATCCCCAGATGACATGTTGATGGTTAAAACATGTTAAAATCACGAAAGGACGGCTAAATCCCATTGAGTCATATTAAGTCACTGTAATTGTATGATCATCAAGCACCCATCATGTATGTATAAAATATCCCGCCACAAATTCATAGGGAAAAATTCATAGGGAAATTGATGGTTGCCCTCCTATAAGCTAACATAAATGTTGTTAAAAAAAAAATGTGTCGATCATTTTCCAAACGGGAATTCATAGGTTGTCCACAGCTATGTTCGTTTTCAGGTTTTAAGGTGTTTACTTCAGGGTAAGTCCCACAATTCCCATGACATCTAAACCTTAGGGACGCCGCTCCTTGGCTGCCAGGGTCATGGCATTCCGCTGAGGTGTCAGCAGGCCGACCACCATGGGACCCCCGACCTCGAGACAGTCCCGGTCAACGGTTCAACGATCATCATTTTTTGGGTGGAAAAACTGGAAAAGTAATTAGAAATTTTGAGGTGGAACAGATGCAAGGTTCGGGTCACTTCTTTCGGGGATCAAGCTTTGGAGCTTGGTGAAAGCGGATGCAAAACTACGTAGGTTCCTTTGAAGCATCCGAAGAAAATTATCACAAAATCCCCTCAGATTCCCTCGAATGGTCCTCCCCAAAATGGAACAATAACTCCAATTCTTGAGGGTAAATAAACACTTATTAGCCATGATTAGCCGTTATTAACCACTATTAACCATAGTTAACCGTTATGAACCACATGATTGTGAATGGTTAAACCACTATTACCACAATATACCATAATAGTGGTTAAAACATGGTTAACCACTATTACCATATTCTATTGTCCATAATGGTTATGAATTCATGAACCACTATTTGCCACTACCGTTACCCATCCCTGCTGATCTGGGTCGATCCAGCCACCCCGGCAAACAGATCAGCGTTCCTCAGTTCCGAAACTCAACAGAAGCTGTCAGTGCTGAAAAAAAATGGGTAAATATGGTTCATACTGGTTAATAATGGTTCATACTGGTTAATAATGGTTCATACTGGTTAATAATGGTTCATACTGGTTAATAATGGTTCATACTGGTTAATAATGGTTCATACTGGTTAATACTGGTTCATACTGGTTAATAATGGTTCATACTGGTTAATACTGGTTCATACTGGTTAATAATGGTTCATACTGGTTAATAATGGTTCATACTGGTTAATAATGGTTCATACTGGTTAATAATGGTTCATACTGGTTAATAATGGTTCATACTGGTTAATAATGGTTCATACTGGTTAATAATGGTTCATACTGGTTAATACTGGTTCATACTGGTTAATAATGGTTCATACTGGTTAATAATGGTTCATACTGGTTAATAATGGTTCATACTGGTTAATAATGGTTCATACTGGTTAATAATGGTTCATACTGGTTAATAATGGTTCATACTGGTTAATAATGGTTCATACTGGTTAATACTGGTTCATACTGGTTAATAATGGTTCATACTGGTTAATAATGGTTCATACTGGTTAATAATGGTTCATACTGGTTAATAATGGTTCATACTGGTTAATACTGGTTCATACTGGTTAATAAATGTTGTTTCATTAAAAAAAAACTGGTTAATACTGGTCATACTGGTGTAATAAATGGTTGCCTCTGTAGGTTGGAGTTCATACTGCGTAGATAACTGGTTTGCAGTGAACACGGTTAATTATGGGTTCATTAACTGGTAATATACTGGTCTCACTAAACGGTTGACAAGTATGGTTCGATGATGTTAATAAGGTTCATATGGGTTAATACTGGTTCCTTACTGGTTAATAAGGTTCGAAACTGGTAATACTGGTTCATACTGGTTAATAATGGTTATACTGGTTAATAATGGTTCATACTGGTTAATAATGGTTCATACTGGTTAATAATGGTTCATACTGGTTAATAATGGTTCATACTGGTTAATACTGGTTCATACTGGTTAATAATGGTTCATACTGGTTAATAATGGTTCATACTGGTTAATATGGTTCATACTGGTTAATAATGGTTCATACTGGTTAATACTGGTTCATACTGGTTAATAATGGTTCATACTGGTTAATACTGGTTCATACTGGTTAATAATGGTTCATACTGGTTAATAATGGTTCATACTGGTTAATAATGGTTCATACTGGTTAATACTGGTTCATACTGGTTAATAATGGTTCATACTGGTTAATAATGGTTCATACTGGTTTATAATGGTTCATACTGGTTAATAATGGTTCATACTGGTTAATAATGGTTAATACTGGTTGATAAACACCAAGCTTGGATTTCGCTCCGATTTTTGAGTTGGTTGCGGGTGCTGACTTCTTGTGAAGCTTCGCACACAGAATCCCACTCGCCAACCAGGAATGTGATCTGCCAGTCATGGGACCTGGTCCAACTATGGAGATTTTCGCTCCACACCCTGGGATTCACGGAATGTGGAGATGCGAAAATCCATCGAATTCAATGCGGTGCTTCGCAAAAACACCAAGACGCGCATCTTTCATTTCATCGGATGTAGGTCTGGAAACGTCTACAAACATGCGTAGATATATATATATATATATGTGATACATTCGAATATACATTGTGTATCTATCACTACATGAATTACGTATCTTGAGGAAAAGAAGATCCAAATGGCACCAGAAGCCACGGATTTGTTCGAAGCCACGGCACTTCAACCAGGAGGCGCATCTCACCCTCAAGTCCTGGCTGGTACCCTCTCTGACTTGACCAATTCTGGTGTAACCATGACCCACGGTGTGGCCAATGTTTCAAAGGAAACCAAAAACAAAGCTATGACCAAAAACAATTCATAGTTAATTCATGAACTACACCTCAAAAAAAACAAATCCCGAACAGTTCAACTATAGTTCAAAGGTAATATTATATAACAACTCAGCAAGTGTCAGCTCCATGGCCAAAAGTTCACACTTTGTACCCTTCGAGGTGAGCATGGGTGGCTTGCGGGAGGGCAAGCTTGAGCGGGATGACACAAACATCATTGTTAAACATTCAACAACTCAGCAAGTGTCAGCTCCTGTTTCTCATCCACATCGGCTGGAAAGGTGACACGGCCGCTATGGCCAAAAGTTCACACTTTGTACCCAGCCTTTTCAGTCCATCAATTAAATAAGAAAAAGATCACCCATTCTGTTCAAGCTTTGCTGCCTCACCTCGAAAAATGATTGGCCATGCGGAAAGTGGGATGCTGATCCTATCTAGAATCTGTGCCTGTGCAAGGATCCATGGGAAAATGGCTGCGCCATCCGTAATCTGCTTCTTTACATTGCCTGGCAGATTTGGGATGAATTGGATTGCTGAAACTTCTTGTACATAGATTTCCATCACTTTGATACTTACCCATCTACCTCTCCTTCTGATCATGTCAACGTTGTCACCAACCAACATTAGCCAGCTGGCTCCTCCTGCACGCAGGCTACCAAGATCCAACCCTCGGGACAAACCATGAGGCAACCTATCCAGGTTATTCGCAGCCAAAAGTCGTTGGAAACGCTTTCTCATGGTCTGACCGGAAAAGGGCCACAACCGTTGACCTGGACTGAGGCGATGAAAAGCCAAATCTACCAATGCCAAAAGCTGTGGTTGGTCCAGTTTCGCAACCTGGTGACGTGCAGTCCGGAAACGTGTTTTTGGTTCATCAATCTGCAGAAGAGCGTGGCTCGCTGTGAACTCAACGTCACGTGGCAAAACCAGCTGGCGCCTGACAGCGGAGATGGCTTCTCCGATCCTTGTCAGGCCGCCCCAAGAAAGGGCCAAAATTCCCGCTTCTCTGATCCACCCCCAATACAATGCGGTTACCAGCAAACTCAAAAGCGCCTGCCATGGCAATGCAAGGTGGTGCGTAGGTGGTTCTTGTCGAAGCCAGGAGTAGGCCAAATCCCATGCTGGCTGCAACATACGTTTGATCCTCGGCCTCCGACTGGCTACTCCATTGATTGTTTCACTGTAGTGGCCATAGGGCCTCCCAGCAAGGTACAAGGACCTACCGTAGCGCTCCAGCTGCAGATTTATCAGTTCAATATCAGGTTCCCCCACACCTATCAATGCACTGAGAGTCATGCCGTCCTGATTCAACCACTCATCAAAAGCTGCCAGCAACTTCTCTCTGTAAGCTTGCGTCTTTCCTAGAACAGGTCTGCCTTCTGGCAGTTCCAGCGCGCCTCTATTTGCAGCTCGCACCCTGTCGCCAGAATCTCGTGGGATCAATGGTGGGCCATGGCTCACTCCCTCCGCGGCAGCAATCCAAAGCGCAGCAGCAAAAAGTCCAAAAGCACCCCTCCCCCGAGAAGAGACCTGGCGGACAGACAAGATGAAGAAGCAAGCAAAAATCCAGAGGCAGAGAAAGCTGGCCAAGAGTTGTGGAGAGGCAATGCTAGAAATCCAAGTCAATGCAATGCCAGGAAGGACATGGAAGAGCGCAGAAGGGGGATCAGAAAATGACATGATTCCAAAAATCCAAGGAGGGCCCTCACCTGGAAAACCAAGGGTTTGATCAAAGTCCAAGGGAGCATAGCTGGAAAAGACCGTGGGGACCTGCAGGTGAAAGGGGTAGTGCTTGAAGGCATATCGTTCGTATCTCCAGCACTCTTCAGACCCCAGCCAAGGAGGAGGTCGTTTCTGAAGGACAGAGAAGAGCCGAATCCAGTTGGCTGCCGCCCGAGACAAAGAACCTACCTCTGCAAAATCCAAGAGGTTTTTGAGGGGTTGGGAAGTCCAAAAAGATTCCAAAGGCTCCGGGATCTCATTGTCTCGGGTTGGATGGTCGGCGGGATTCAATCTTGTTGGTGCAAACTGGTACGCAGGGTAAAGGCAACCAGCAACAACTGTCGCCCCAATCCTCCTGACGCAGGGTCTCAAGCCATATGACGGAGATCGACCCTTCACCAAGGCTGAAAGTCCAACGTTGGAGTCCATGCCAATGACTTGACGGGAGCAGGGGGATTCCAAAGCAAGGCGCTTGAGTAGGGTCTGAACAACCCGGGTCTCAAGGATATTGATGTGCAAAGGTCTAGGCCACTTCCAAACAGCACCAACCTTCCACCTTGAACTCAACAAAGCTTCATTGCACAAAGGGTTCTCGAGGCCTGACACCTTGGGGTCATGAATGCGTTCAAGCCTCAACTTCTGTCGAAGAGCGCGATCAAAAGCTAGGCCAATGCATGAGGCCAGCTCATCTGTGTATACAGCCGAAAGCTTTGCAAACTGACCTCCAATGCGCACATGCTGATGGGATCTGTCACACTTCCTGTGCAAGAATTCTGCCTCCATATTGCAAATCAAAAACACAAACTCCTTGTTGTGAGGACTTCCAAACATGCAACCTGCCGTCCAAATCTCCTCAGCCAAAAGTGCATTAAGCAAATACTGCCATTCTGATAGCCGCCTCATCTTCGTTCTTCTAGGCTGCTCAAGAAGCCCTGGGCATTTCATCTCACTGCCTTTCTTGATCAGACTCAATGACCTCAGAGCCAAAGTGGTGCCCAGGAGAGTCTTTGGATCTGTGGGATCATAGCCTCTCGGACAGTCATACCCCCGCGAAGCTGGATGCTGCGCAGGAGAAAATGTTGTACAGGGAGGCTCCACCATGAAACTGTCAAGCCTGCCATCCTCCAGTAGATGGTAAACCCAGCTGAGGACACGCAGCATGCTCAGATCATAGAAAGGCGACCTGTCAAGGTCAATGACTGGGCCAACTGTCCAGCCTTTCCCACTGAGGGAAGCCGCTATTTTCCCAGCTCCGCCACAAATCTCAAGAAAATGAAAACGCATGCCTAGAGGTCTTTCAACTGATCCTGCATCTGACTCCTCCAACTCCGCCGTCTCTTCAAACGCAGGGTCCAGCTTTCGTAGCAAGGCTCTGGATCTGGATAGAAGCCTCACATAGCCTCCCTTCTTTCTACCGGACCTCCAAAGGGCCCTGGCCATGGCTTCTGGAACCTCAGCTTCAACATAGGCCCCCTTTGCATCCGAAGCATCAGTTGCGTAAATAGTGGAGGAAAGCTTCGCCGCCAAATCCGTGACCATGAAAGGGATGAGAGAGGACAACAAAACCAGCTCTTGGGCTACAGCTCTGGGGAGATGAAGCAAAACAGGGGCATCTGAATCCACCGCAGCGTTCTCAACCAAACCAAAACTGTCAGCCAAAATTGACATCATGGGTCTACGGTATAGTAAAGAGTGCACCCAGCCCCCAATCAAACAAAGATGTAGCTGATCCGTCGTCCACCTCAATCTGGACAAATGCAGTGACACAAACGCCAAAGCCAAGCGCTTGTTTGCTGGAGAGGCCAAAGTGGCCAAGCCTAGACTCCTCACCCGAAGGGAGGTGTCCAGCTCTGCTCCAGTGATCTTGGCCTTCGACGCATCTGCAATGTCTTTCTCAGGGGATCCCAAAATGCCTTGCCGCTCATAAGCCGCCAAAGCGGTGGCCATCTCCGTTCCTGCAACTGTTTGCCAAGGGATGTCCTCCGCCCGAGCATCAAGCGGCGCAGGCTCAATAGAAACCGTATAGAAATCGTCAATGACAAGCCCTGAAACCAATCTATCACCCTTGAAGAACCTATCTGCGCGCAGCTCATCACTGTCTTTCAAAAGCCCAACTGATTTCAGCAAGCCCCTGTGACTGTCAACTGCAAACTCGACCCCAAGATGGTCTCCTTGGGGTATGCTGGCAAAACACCCCTGCAAAAGCGCAGGGACCTCAGCCAGCCTTCTGTTGTTGATGGTCTTGTCACTGCTACCAAAAAGGTCCCCGTGGATGATCCTGTCATAGGCCTTCCTTTTCAAATTTCTTTGGCTCCAGGCTGCAAAGGCTCTCGTCTTGGCCAAATCTGCAGCACGGATGGGAGGCCACAAAACATTCGTGGCAGCCCGCTGATGGCTGACCTTGAACTGGTGATAGAAATCCTTTCGATCCGATACATAGACCGAGAACCTCTCGTGCAGAGGCAAAATTTCCAAATCCGCAAGAAGCAGTGCAGGGGGAAGGCATTTTGAGACACCAGGAAGCCGCCCTTCAACAAAATTTCTTGCTCTGCGATCACCAATCATTCTGTCAACTTCAGCAGACTTGTGACAATTGAAAAACCTCATAGCCAAACCCGAGTCCTCAGCCTCAAGCATGCTGTCTCTAATAAAAAGCAATCCTTTTGCGTCCCAGATCTTCATAAGCTCCAAGACATCTTCGTATCTCTCCTTTGTAAGATCTGGCACGTCTTGTGAAACGCAAGAGTCAGACCACCGCAGAGATTCAGGCTCGCAAAACGCCATCCAAAGTGAGTCCCCTAGAAACTCAGTAGGGTCCCACCTCCCACTGCCGGTGATCTTCAGCCTGCCTGGCTGCAGCCTGCTGTATGGAGTAAGCTCTGGAGCTCTATCAACCTTCACGGGAACTCGAGCCATAGCTTCAAAACCTCCTGCAGCACCATGAAAACCTCGCTCATATGAGGCTCCTGCGAGCCCTTCCCATGTGACAAAATCGCAAAGGTCTGACAGCTGTGCGATCAGTGAAGTAGATCTTCGGCCACTCGACGGGACTGCAAATGTCTCATCTGAGCTACCGAAAGCCTTCATCAACCTCCTCAAGTTTTCAAGAACCCTCGCCTGAGAAGAAGAGGGATGCCTGGCCAACAAAGAGACAGGAGGGAACTGGTAGTCAGCATGCCAAAAGTTGAGAGCCATCACGGCAACATGGAATGCCTGGTCAAAGGACCTTCTCCTTCTCTCTCTGCTGCCAGCACGACTTGGAACAGTGAAAACCCCCTCTTTTGGCAGAGGAAGAGGGAAGAGAGCTTTTTCAGGTGCCATCTCGGACGACCTGGTGATGTGGAGAGTGCGCTTCAGAAACTCAGCAAAGGGAGTATGGGAAGCCAAAACCAACCGACAAAGGGACGAAGTCCATCGGGAGAATGAAAAGGTTTGCAAGAAAGTCCAAGAGGGGAGGTCATCATTACAGCCAGGGCCTGCTTGGCAAGGATGCTTTTGGGGCTCCTCGGAACAAAAGCTGGTGCTGCCTGTTGTGTCCTCCTCCTGAACCTTTTGGAGGCTACGCTTTGGACCACCTCCTGAATTATCCTTCATGCCCCCTCTGTCTGTGCCGGACTTGCTGCTTTCTTTGGACGCCTGGGGTATCGGGGTTGCTTTGGCTTGGCTGTCTCCTGACCTTCGTCCTCCTGCCTGTGTAGACCTCCTCCTGGCTTCTTTGGGAGCGCCTCTGACCTGCGGGTGTTCAACAGGTCCAGCTCCTTGACATATGCCAGGGCTGTCGCGCCCCAGTCTGCCGGGCATAGGGGGCCAAACGCCCGAAGGCGTGGATTGGTGTGCTGGGGACGATGGGAGAAGATCTGAGTGGGAGGGTCCTCCTGAAGGGACAAAATCCATGCTACCTCCCACTTGCCCCCGTCCATGGCGCTTTGTTCTATAGCGACCATTGCTAATGCCAGCATCTCCTGCGCTCCTGCCTGATCTCCTGCCAGCATCTGGTCGGCCACATGTGAAAGAAGCCACATAACCAGCCCCAAATCTCGTTGGTATCCCGTGTATCCTCCTTGCCTCTCCAGGTATTTTGTGAAGATGGCCTTCTTCTGGAACTCCTGGATCGATCCTGGAACAGGATCTGAGGGTTTGAGTCTTCGGAAAGCGTTCTGTGCTATCTTGAGGAAGAAACCCCCCTTTCGAGCTGCCAGCTCTGCTTGCAACTTCTCCCTTCTTGCAGAGCCTTTCAAAGAAATGGCAGAAGAACCTGCAGAGGTCGACCCTAGGTCTGGAAGCCCATCCTGGTTGGCTATATGGGAGACCAGGAGATTCAGTGCTTGCTGTTGCTGAAGCAGCATCTGAGACACCTGATCGGCTCCTTCTATGGGGGGCTCCTGCTCCTCTGGAAGTTCTGCTGGCTCGTCCTCTCGCATGCTCCTCAGGGCAGGCTGGCGCAGTGCTTGGGTCTGTCTGGGGGGAGGACCAACCTGAGACAAGAACTTGGCGGGACTGGCTGCTGTGTGGAGGGGCATCTGAAGATGGGCCCCAAAATCTCTCTGGTGTGGTGCTGATTGCTGAAGTGATGCCTGAGACTGCAAAGCTACTTCGAACTCCTCCTGTCTCCTCTGCATCTGTGCCAGAGTAAAAGGCTACTCTCTCCTCGTGTGCTTCCTCTAGCCAGGCCTGGACTGCTTTGAGCAAGGACTGGGAAGATGGGTAAGCCTCCATGTCTCCTTCCAAGAAAAACCGGATGCCATCTCCTTCTGTCACAGGGTCGAACATTCGCAAGGATGTGAGGACTGCTGCATCGAAGTCCACCACCAAAACCCCCATTTCCATCTCCAACTCTCTCTCCTGACCATTCTCGTCGTCCATGGCTGTCTGGACCACGAACTCGCGTGCTGGCCCAATCAGGGCGTGAGGCAAAGGAGGCTCCTGAGATTCTAAGACCTCCGTGGGGAGAGTATCCATGGGAAGTGCCAGGAGAAGTCCATTCTGGCGAGAGAGGATGGGGATGCAAAGAGCTTCGACTGCAGGAATGGTGATGCCACCCTCTGTCTCCTGTGTTGGCAGGTTGATGACATAGGGGGGCGCAGGGCCTCTGTCCAAGGTCTTCACATCTCGCAGGGTGAAGGGGGCAACCTCCACTTCGCTCATTGTTCCGCTGGTTCAGGAAAACTAACTCCAGCTGCGATGCAATACACCCTGGCCTCTGCCAGGGAGGGGAAAGCGTGAGAGACACTTTCACTGCCCTCGGTGAAGCGAGGAATGATCTTGAAATATTCAGCAGCAGTAGACACCCTGACAGGGCGAGCCAGGCCCGGTGCCTTGAGGATGACGTAGACCGTTGGCCGGTTTGCCAACTTTGGCGTTGGCCTGGGTTTGTTGATGATGCCCTCAAGTGTGGCCTTAGCCCAATGTCCCGCCTCCCACGCCCTCTGAACCCGACTCGACCTTTCCTCCGCCGAAGCCCCGATAGAAACACAAAGCTGATGGCAAGCAGGAGGAGCAGAGGTGATAAGCTGAGCCACGTCGTCGTGGCTGGAGGCCCGAGAAGCTGAGAGACCCTGAGATGGGAAACCAGCGGAAGAAGCAGAAAGTAGTGACCCTTCCAAATCCAAGTCCACGGAAGGGAGTGAAATGCCAGAGGGAACAGGTGCAGATTGGGCAGCAGCCTCGTATCCGCTGATGGCAGCCTCAAGGGTACTGGCAATGGCCCTGAGGGAAGATACGGCAGTCCTAATCGCTGAGATTAGTATGCCGGTGGCGTTCATGCAAGTAGGCAAGTAGCCTGTTGGGTGGACGGGGCTGAGTGGAGGCAGGTGTGGTGGAAACCTGGCAAGGCAAGGAGGGGAACAGCACCAGAAGGTAGAACCCAGAAGCCAAGACCAGAAGAATTCCAGAGCACAAGCCAGCCACGAAGATAGCAACCAAGTAAGGGATGGATGAGCCGCAGTGGGCAGGACAGACAAGTCCAAACCAGGAGTTAGAGCTCCCCACAGCCAGCACCCGAACAAGGTCCCCCACCCAAGCAGGCCAGGACATGAAGCTTGAGCGGGATGACACAAACATCGTTGTTAAACATTCAATGCTGCAAAAAAAACATCATCATCAAAAATCATCAGTATAGTTCAATGGTAATATTAATGCTGCAAAAAAAACATCATCAGATGGTGTTTCCCCCAATCCCAACCCCATCCGTTTCAAAATGGTCTCCTGGCGTGACCTTGGCGGCAAAAACGTCGAAACCCAGCCCATTTCTTGCGAATTTCATGGAAATTCATGAGATTTACCGTACCCTCCGGTCATTTGTTGCAGTTTGCGACCTGGAAACCATGGCCGATTTAGTTCCATGACTTACCTATTGCATACATGGTGATTTTCCATAGCTATGTTAAATTACCGGGAAGTAAATTGTTATGAGTCATTCCGGATTTCACCCCGTGGATTCACTGTGGCTACTGCCTTTTTTTTTGGCCAAGACACAGCATTTGGTCTTGTCCGAAGTGATACTTTGGTTGTATAGATCAAGACCCAATAACCCAAAAATTGAGTGCATGAACATCCTGAGGTAGACCATTTGCCCCTGTTCACGTTTATGTTTTTTGCCATGGGTTTATAGTGTCGTGACCCAGAACCAAATCAAAAGGTTCGATGTTTCAAAATAGATGTAATCGGGAAATCAGGTTTTTTTTAAATCGGTTAGCCCAAAAAAATGATTCAATTTAATTTTGATGTTTATACAAATGGGAAATTACTGTGTATCCCATGTCCCATTGTTACTACCCATTTTACCCCCGTTATATCATATATCCCAGGTTATACCCTACATCATTTCTCGATACCCCCAAATTGGAAAATGCCTGCCCTCGCATTGGGTTGCGGCTCATCCAAACCAACTTGAACCGGGTTGGAAATCGCCTCACAACAAAAAAACAAATCAGGATCCTCACGGGTCCCTGGACTGAGTGTAATCGGTCAGAAACCATGTCCTTTTTTGGCATGTGTTTTTTTCATGGAACTAAGGTTGAACAAATCAAACTCGCAAATGGCAGCTGCTCATAACGTATACATCGATGTATGTGAGTGTGTGTACAGGCCATGCGTTGTGGTGTGCATTGTTTGATGGCACCTGTGAATTTGGAACTCCAAGTAAATCCATTTTCGGCAGAATGTCACGGTTTTTTTTTGATATTTTGATATCACAAATATCCCAATCCTATAATCGAGCCTGCGCTAACATTGCCCTGGCTGCAGGTTGGATAAAATTTCGAACTGATTTTTTGAGTTGATTTAGTTGCCATTATGTTTTTTGGGGAACGTGACGGGTTAATGTTTGCTTCGTAAAGTCATTGCGCGTTCTGGAACATATATCGAACATATATCACGTGGATCATCCAGATCAAAAGGATAAAATTGCTGGTCAAATTTTGTAGATTCACCGCGTTTGAATCATTCCGTACAAATCGTTCTGAGCCTCAGACACCGTGCGATTCCTGATTTTTTCAAAAACTACATTACACTCATGACACCGTGCAAACCTGAGAAGGGGGGAACGAAAGCCAGCATCCCATCTACCCCTATTTTCCACCATACTTTTCACCCAGAGACTCTTCAATACATTTCACCCATATACTTTTCACCCAGAGATTTTTCACCCAGAAACTCTTCTTGCACAGGCTTTTCACCATATACTTTTCACAAAGAGACTCTTCACCCAATTTTTTTTCTTGCACATACTTTTCGCCCATATACTTTTCAACCAGAGATTCTTCACCCAGAAACTCTTCTTGCACAGACTTTTCACCCAGAGACTCTTCACCCAGAAACTCTTCTTGCACATACTTTTTACCCAGAGACTTCACCCAGAAACTCTTCTTGCACATACTTTTCACCCAGATACTTTTCACCCAGAGATTCTTCACCCAGAAACTCTTCTTGCACATACATGTCACCCATATACTTTTCACCCAGAGATTCTTCACCCAGAAACTCTTCTTGCACAGACTTTTCACCCAGAGACTCTTCACCCAGAAACTCTTCGTGCACATACTTTTCACCCATATACTTTTTACCCATAGACTTTTCACCCAGAGACTGTTCACCTAGAAACTCTTCTTGCACATACTTTTCACCCATATACTTTTCACCCAGAGACTCTTCTTGGACATACTTTTCACCCATATACTTTTCACCCAGAGACTCTTCACCCAGAAACTCTTCTTGCACATACTTTTCACCAATATACTTTTCACCCAGAGACTCTTCACCTAGAAACTTCTCTTACACATATTTTTCACCCATATACTTTCACCCAGAAACTTTTCTTGCACATACTTTTCACCCATATACTTTTCACCCAGAGACTCTTCACCCAGAAACTCTTCTTGCACATACTTTTCACCCATATACTTTTCACCCAGAGACTCTTCACCCAGAAACTCTTATTGCACATACTTTTCACCCATATACTTTTAACCCAGGGACCCTTCACCCAGAAACTCTTCTTGCACATACTTTTCACCAATATACTTTTCACCCATAGACTCTTCACCCAGAAACTCTTCTTGCACATACTTTTCACCCATATACTTTTAACCCAGAGACTCTTCACCCAGAAACTCTTCGTGCACAAACTTTTCACCCATATACTTTTCACGCAGAGACTCTTCACCCAGAAACTCTTCTTGCAAATACTTTTCGCCCACATACTTTTCACCCAGAGACTCTTCACCCAGAAACTCTTCTTGCACATACTTTTCACCCATATACTTTTCACCCAGAAACTCTTCTTGCACATACTTTTCACCCATATACTTTTCACCAAAGACTCTTCACCCAGAAACTCTTCTTGCACATACTTTTCACCCATATACTTTTCACCCAGAGACTTTTCACCCAGAAACTCTTCTTGCACATACTTTTCACCCATATACTTTTTTTCACCCAGAAACTCTTCTTGCACATACTTTTCACCCATATACTTTTCACCCAGAGACTCTTCTTCCACATACTTTTCACCCATATACTTTTCACCCAGAGACTCTTCACCCAGAAACTCTTCTTGCACATACTTTTCACCCATATACTTTTCACCCAGAGACTCTTCACCTAGAAACTTTTTTTGCACATATTTTTCACCCATATACTTTCACCCAAAGACTCTTCTTGCACCTACTTTTCACCCATATACTTTTCACCCAGAGACTCTTCACCCAGAAACACTTCTTGCACATACTTTCCACCAATATACTGTTCACATCTTTTCACCCAGAGACTCTTCACCCAGAAACTCTTCTTGCACAGACTTTTCACCCAGAGACTCTTCACCCAGAAACTCTTCTTGCTCAAACTTTTCACTCATATACTTTTCACCTAGAGACTCTTCACCCAGAAACTCTTCTTGCACATATAATGGTCCCACATCGGAGCCTCAATTATACTTTTCACCCATATACTTTTTACCCATATACTTTTCACCCAGAGACTCTTCTTGCACATACTTTTCACCCATATACTTTTCACCCAGAGACTCTTCACCCAGAAACTCTTCTTGCACATACTTTTCACCAATATACTTTTCACCCAGAGACTCTTCACCTAGAAACTTTTCTTGCACATATTTTTCACCCATATACTTTCACCCAGAAACTCTTGCACATACTTTTCACCCATATACTTTTCACATCTTTTCACCCAGAGACTCTTCACCTAAAAACTCTTCTTGCACATACATTTCACCCATATACTTTTCACCCAGAGATTCTTCACCCAGAAACTCTTCTTGCACAGACTTTCAGTGTAGCGGGGATCGTGTCCGAATTTGACTGCGCGGGTTCGCGCGGGTTTGCGCGGGTTTGCGCGGGTTTGCGCGGGTTTGCGCGGGTTCGCGCGGGTTCGCGTTGGTTCGCGCGGATTTGCGCGGGTTTGCGCGGGTTCGCGCGGGTTCGCGCGGGTTTGCGCGGGTTTGTGCGGGTTTGCGCGCGTTCGCCCGGGTTCGTGCGGTTTCGCCCGGGTTCGCGCTGGTTTGTGCGGGTTTGATGATGATGATGATGATTATTATTTTCATGATTATCATGATTATCATGATGATGAGTCAATGACCACAGCAATCGGTTCCGTCTAATGTCTTACAGGCAATTGCAGAGGCGCAGGTCTGCAAAATTATCACTTATGCCAAAAAACAGTCACTATCCACAAGAGCCTGAGCAAAACCATTCCAGAAGCATTTCTTCTTGATGCTTTGGCACTTTTTGGCTAGCCGGATACCCCATTCCTCCGTGAGTACTGAGGGCGGAGGCGATTTTGCCAACTGAATCATTTCCTTCAACCTATCCACCAATGACTTATCATTGAAAAGGTGAAACATGGTTTTGAAGAAGCACACCTGGTCGCAAATAACTGGAATGGTTGAGTCCTTGCCAAGTTGTTACCTCTTTCTCCTGTATCACCATGTGCAAGTATATAGTTTTTTTGTAATCATGTTTTTTGGTCTGATTCATTGGTGGAAAAGACTGAATTCTCGTGGCTGTGAGCGGGCGAATTTCCAGCCACTTCGCAGTTCAGAATCATAGTACGAAACCTTGCAGCAACGCTGTCCAGGTCATGGAAGTTTTGGAAACTAGGCACCATCAGGTTTTGTTTGGAAACCAGGTCACATGGTTGTATGGTTACTTTATCTTACCACGCCGGTCAAACCCCTGAAGACCTGACCACCGACCACTGCTGCTGGAGTTGCCAGTGCTAGCACCACAGGCAGACATCACAAGGGACA